GCTCTGGGCTCTGAGCCTGTTTCTGATTCTGTGTCTCCCTCTCTCTCTGCCCCTCCCCCGTTCATGCTCTGTCTCTCTCTGTCCCAAAAATAAATAAATGTTGAAAAAAAAAAATTAAAAAAAAAAAAAGAACCACATGCCAAAATGTTTAGGGATGATAATAAATCGAACCATTGATGTCTACAACTTACTTTCAAATGGGTCTACAAAAATAAAAATAATACACATGTATATCTGCGCGTGCACACGTGGGTACCCGCGCTTGTGCGCAAAATGTTCAAAGCTGATGAGTCTAGAAGAGTACTCAGGTGCTTATTGTATCATTCTTGCTGTGGATGGGGAAAGGAATGTACTTTAATAAAATAAAACTGGTTTGAACCCACTTGACAAAAGTAGTGGATTATGTTTCATGTCTGATTATATCCTGATGAGGAAAAAAAAAAAAAGCACGATAAGGGATTCTCTGAAATACAAAGAAAGGAAGGGGAGCCTAATTTAAATTTAAATGTCAAGTAGGGGTTTAAAGAGATAATGTTAAGGGGATTAGTGTGGTGCCCAGTGTAACACAGTAAGTGTTTAATGAATGTTCTTGAGTGTGTGTGTGTGTGTGTGTGTGTGTGTGTGTGTGTGGAAGCGCACACACACACACACACACACACACACACACACACACGCATGCTCTTTCCTCACGTCAGGCATATTATTTGAGCCTCCACCATAAGCCAGAGTTTCAATAAACCCAGGTTTCGTGGGCACCCACATGTTGACCCTTTCCAACCCCCTCTGCCAACAGCCTAGCCTTTCTCTAGGGTCCAGCTGTGTAGCAGCCCGAGAAAGAGCAGTTCCTGTGTGAGATCAGTCGAGAGATCAACTCTGTGGAATTTTCAGAATTAAAGAAAAACAGCAAAGATTTCTTGTTGCCAAAGACCTACTCTTGGTCTCAGTGAGAAGAAAATAATGCCCATTTCCAAACTCCTCTCCAGCTGCCTATGCAACGGCTCATGAAGCTGCCCATTCCCCATCTGAGGTCAATACGACACAACACCATAGAAACGAGGCAAGGCTGCTTGCTGTGTGAGGCCGTGAGCGCGCAGCTCAGCTCGAATTGCTGGATGGGACTGGGAAATGGAACACACGAGCGGCCAGCTCTAAAAAGCACCAGAACATGAACAGGAGCTATGATTCCCAACTCTACCACCAGGAGAGATGTTGGCTGATTTTTTCCAGGGCAAGGAGTTTCATGTCTGAGAGCAGCCATTTTTTTCCCCTTTGTGTTGTCAAAAGAGAGTAACAGGGCAGTTTGCAGCTAACATAGGCTTAGCTTTGTTTTCTTCCTCTGAGTGATAAAAATCTCCTTTTTTGTGGAGACCGAGGATTCTGGTCTTCCAGGGCTCTGGGGACTCTTGTCAGATTTGCATGTTTTTGTTTTGTCACCTCTGTCTTTACCCCTCAAGAAGTAATTGAGAGGGGGCGCCTGGTGGCTCAATCAGTTGAGCGTCCGACTTCAGTTCAGGTCATGATCTCGCAGTCCGCAAGTTCGAGCCCCACGTTGGGCTCTGTGCTGACAGCTCAGAGCCTGGAGCGTGTTTCGGATTCTGTGTGTGTGTGTCTCTCTGACCCTCCCCCATTCATGCTCTGTCTCTCTCTGTCTCAAAAATAAATAAACGTTAAAAAAATTAAAAAAAGTAATTGAGAAAGATTTCTTGCTCCCCGGTCCAATTTTGGTAATGAGGGACAGGGGCACCAGCTTTATATTTTTAATTCCTGTTTTGTTGTTTTTTTTTTTAAATATAGTTTTGAAATTTCCAGTACCTCAGTTTCCCTACACATAAACAAGAGAAAGGCAAGGAGGAAGCTGTCCATCTCACACTTTAAAGGGGAAAGTCTTATGATGAACTTAATATCTATGGGCATGTTTGAGCTTTCTGGAAGAGCCACCTGAAATATACAAACAACCATGAATAAGAAAAGAACAGGATTGAAGTTATCTGTAGGAAAACTCGTAGGAAATAAGACTTGATTAATAATTCAGAATCCATGGGTCTTTTTTTAATGTTTGTTTATTTTTGAGAGAGAGTGGGGGAGGGGCAAAAAGAGAAGGAGAGAGAGTCCCAAGCAGGCTCCATGCTGTCAGTGCGGACCCTGACACGGGGCTCGATCTTACAAACATGAGATCATGACCTGAGCCAAAATCTGGAGTCAGATGCTCAATTGACTGAGCCACCCAGGTGCCCAGAATTCATGAATTAAAAAAAAATTTTTTTTATAAACTTTTTTTAAACATTTTTATCCATTTTTGAGAGACAGAGACAGGCTGTGAGCGGGGGAGGGGCAGAGAGAGAGAGAGAGGGAGATACAGAATCTGAAGCAGGCTCCGGACTCCGAGCTGTCAGCACAGAGCCTGATGCGGGGCCCGAACTGATAAACTGTGAGATCATGAGTTGAGCTGAAGTCGGATGCTCAACCAACTGAGCCACCCAGGTGCCCCTAAATTTTTTTTTAATGTTTATTTATTTTTGAGAGAGAGAGAGAGAGACAGAGTGCAAGCAGGGGTGGGGCAGAGAGGGAGGGAGACACAGAATCTGAAGAAGGCTCCAGGCTCTGAGCTGTCAGCGCAGAGCCTGATGTGGGGCCTGAACTCATGAACCGTGAGATCATGACCTGAGCCGATATTGGAGGCTTCACTGACTGAGCCACCCAGGTGCCCCAGAATTCATGAATTTTATTTAAAGTAATCTGGGAACAACATCTTCTTAGATCACTGTGCCTCTTTCTAAGTCCCCGGCCCCCCGACTTCCACCTCGAATAATCGTACGTACTTGACCTCTCTTGGGATTAATTTCACTTAACAGAAGCTATTTCTATAAAACTGTACATTTGCTAGTAGATTGGCAACAGCTAGTAGATTCTCAAGTCACCTGCAGATTTCTCAATTTTTTCCTGAAACAAAAAGGTCAGAGTTAGAAGGAAGTTTCAAGACCATTGAGTTCTACTTTTTTATCCTATACATGTGAAAATTACGGCCAGGGAGGAAGTTACTCGGTAGCTCAGTGCGCTTGGTAGTCTAGTGTCTTCTGTGCAGCCCCAGCTCCTCTTCCACCCCACTACCACATTAGCCTTCTCCTCAGCCGTATTTCCAACCACAACTGACAGTAAGAGAGTTCCAGTTTGTGGAATGACAAAGGACTGATGTCTACTCTATGTAAATTTGACATCCAGGCTCTCAGAACTGTATGTGAGATTCCTGAGGCTATATCTGCTTAAAAACTTAGCAATGTAAGAATGTTAATACTGCAGTAAGGTGATATAATATGTATCTACTATATATGTCTCCTTATTGCACCATTAGATAGATGATAGATTGGTAGGTAGGTAGATAGCTAGAGAGATAGATAAAGTGATAGAGGTATCTTCTTAATAATCCATTTCGTCCTGCGTGTGTGTGTATCACTACCTTCTCTGCACCTCCTTACCTCCCGTACTGATTTTATTACTTCCTTCTTTCTCTGTGACTTAACATTTGCTTGGTTTTCTCTTAACTCACCTACCACCTGTTACTGACATGGGTTTGAACCTTGGGTGTACCACGGAATGACTTAGGGTAGACCAAAGGAAACCTCCTGTGTCCCCTCTGAGTTCCATTCTATTACCCATGGCCCCACTTGACCTCATGGCCAAGTTGCTCCTGGGTCATAAGAACCTCTTTGCCGCGGGTCACGGAACATCCTGTAGGTTTTCAACTCTTGGCATCAGTAAGCTGCATTAGGCCAGCAGGGGGAGCAGCAGTGAGCAGCAGGGAGAAAGCAGGTGCCAAAGCCATGTGTATCTTGTAGTTTCTAAAAATCTGAGACAACTCTAGACACCTTTTGAAATATGTAGAGAAGTTGACAGGTTAAAAAAATAATTAGTTCATTTTTAATTACAGGTAAAACAACTGCATTCTCATTGTAGAAAATTCCTACAATACAGTTAAAGTGAAAACTACCCCATCTCTACCTTCTTCCCTAGAGGTAATGGTTATCAGTCTCTCTTTCTAGGCTCTTTTAAAGGTTATTTTTATTTATTGTGAGAGAGAGAGAGAATACGAGAGAGGCAGAGAGAGAGGGGGAGAGAGAGAGAATCCCAAGCGGTGCTTGAACCCACAAACTGAATTCATGACCTGAGCCGAAAATCAAGAGTCAGACACTTAACCAGCTGAGCCACCAGGCACCCCTCGATTTTTTAATACACTAAAGCTTATAATACACCTAGAAATATAAATGTTTTTTCATAAATGGGATCATACTGTATTATTTTACAATTCTTTCCCACTTCATACATTTTAGACCTCTGTGTGTGCGTGCGCGTGTGTGTGTGTGTGTGTGTGTGTGTGCATACACATATAATTTCATTTTTTTTAAAGATTGCTGCCTAGGATTCTGTTGAGGGACTGTTCTATGGCTTATTTAATAATTTTTCTACTGAGACTTCGGGTTGGTTTTGTTTTCTACTCTTAACAAACAGTGAGAGTCTTGTGATGATGTGTGTTTTCTAGTACAGATTCTTGGCTCTGAAGATATACATTCTTCAGATTTTTTAGGATGACATTAAAAAGAGAGTAAAGAGCAGATGCCTCATGACTCAAGACTTCACCATCGGTCACAATAGGGTCCTGTGGCCTGGCTGTCAGCTGTACCAGAGGGAGAATGCTAGTGACATACACACACAGCTATGTCCTCTTACTTCACAGCTGTGGTCAGCACAGTGGCTCATTTGACTCAGAGTCAAAGCCACCAGGGTACCTAACACTCCAGCAATCGCTGAGAAGGAAAGTTCTTTATTTGTCATCGAATAGGATGGTGTGACCACTGTAGGCAGCCAGTAAAATGAACAAGGGATTGGAGTGAGCACGCCTGACAGATTCTGATTGGCAGATCTTTCCAGAGCCATCCTTTAGAGGCAGCGGTTTGTGACGGAGTGGTTTTGGTTTCTCCTGTCTGATACGTTCTCTATTTTTGTAGTTGGCCGTCCAATCCCCGTTCATCAGACTCTGCACCCAACCACGGAACAGATTGAGGAGTTACATCACACCTATATGGAGGAGCTAAAGAAATTATTTGAGGCGCACAAGAGGAAGTATGGTATTCCAGAGCACGAAACTCTCATTTTTAAATAACTGTACGCTTAGAAGGCACACCAGAGGATGCGAGAGCATCCCATTGGAGAATACATATTTTAAATAAGGATTTTCTTCTTTGACTGTGGAGTCCAATGTGCAACTGGAAAATATTATTTATGGTGACAGATGTTGGTGAGTGTCCATGGGCAATAAAAATACAGTAGGTGACTACAGGAGAAGGGTGGAGAAGACTATAACCCTTCTAATCATCCTCCTCGTTTAGGAAGGGCCAGTCATTTTGCAGGTGAAGAAAAGGTTTAGAATTATTCATGTGCTCAAGAAAAAAAATATGACAGCTTCAAAAAATAATTAGACCCTTTTACTAAACATCACAATAATTTAAGGTAGTGTTTTCACTAAATATGACAGCTGTTGTTTACTGCAGCTGGAGCAGTTAGGAGACCATGTGTGAAATAATTTTCCATACAGAGCTAGAGGAGATCTTTTTTTTTTTTTTTTCTGCTTGAACAGACCATTTTTGGGTGAATAATGTTACTTTTCAGGCTTAGATAATTTGATCCCTTTAGGTCATGTCAACCAACACATTCTTATACAATAGTGCAGAATTTTTATGCAGTGGGTGAGAGCGTGTCTCTTCATTTCTATTCATGCTTGGAAACATTCATGCTTGTTGTTTGCTTCGAAGCATGTGCATTTGCTATGGACAAGGAGGTCTTTTGGGACACATGCTTTACAGAACGTTGAAATTCCGAAAGGTTTTCGTGGTTGTAGAAATGATTTGAATTTTCTTCCCAAATAGCCTCTTTGAGGAAGACCAGCTATGAAAGAAAGCGCCCTCTCTGGTTGTCGTGTGTCCAGTTACAACCGTCTGGTCTGGAAGAGAGGCAACCCTGTGCCTCCTGTTCACTGATACCTCTCTAGTGCCTGCGCCGGGCACAAAATAAGTACTTGTTTAGTGAATATATTTACGGATGAGCCCACAAAGGTGAAGAATTTTTAAAGCTGCACCATAGGATGAACCTATTTTAAGAAAAGACCCAGTTTCAGAAGGAGAGAATGTGCGGGGTCTGATTGTCTCATGCCAGTAATGGACGAGACCGCAGGCTAGTTTATAAGATGCAAGTGAAAAGGAGGTTTCTGATCATTAGGCACTAAAAGTTAAGAAAAGGATTCGGTAAATAAATGAGAAGAATGTCTAGTTTCCAAATGATCTCCGTTGCTATATGTTGCTTCTTTACCCCTTGTGCTCTGGGTATTTGGGGGCAACTTCTTGGAGTTGTTCTAACTTACTAGTAATATATCTTCAGGCCTCTAATTTTTAAAACATGAAGCCTGGGCTGGAGCCTGGACTGAGTTCAGCATCAGCCAAACAAAATCATGCTGGGTAATGTCTTGACTAGGAAAGCATTTCACACAGGAAAAAATGAACATGCCTCTGGCTTCATACTGGTTGAACAATCCAGGAGTCCACTGACCCATGGCCTTGAACTTAGATCAATTTTTTGTCAAAGCAGGGAATAGGGCACAACCTATTTTTAACAGATGCACAAAACTCGACTATAAATCCTTTTTGGTATTACTCGACACCAACAAAGTATAAAAGGAGCACCATTTACAGAAAATGACACCCCAGCTGGTCATGGGTCAGTCTTTCAGAATGCCACAACGACTAGAGACCTTTATTATAAAGCCTGTGAATTTCATCCCTTTAGAGAAGTTCATTAAAGTCTCTGTGATTTCACAAAACTATGACTTTTAATCTCATACTTGGTCCTGGGAGGCCAAGCTGACCCTGACATCAGCTGGATCATCCAATAAAGCAAAGTTAAAGCCCATAGGTAGTAAAGCAAAGGCACTGAAAAATGAGCAAAGTTCCCCTCTGACGAATTTGCTAGAATTTTGCCATTTCAAAACCCTAGGCATCAGCAAACTTCCATTCTGGCGTCCATAAAATCTTTTTAGATACATTTTAGGGGTTTTATCTCTTTCTTCGTTTTTTTTCTTTCTTTCTTTCTTTCTTTCTTTCTTTCTTTCTTTCTTTCTTTCTTTCTTTCTTTCCTTCCTTCCTTCCTTCCTTCCTTCCTTCCTTCCTTCCTTCCTTCTTTCTCTAGAGGTCATAATCTAGCCAGAAGTCCATTCATAAACCCAAAGCATAGTTGTAAGCCCCATATAGTCCTACAGATTGCAAGTGAAGGTTTGGACACGAACTTTTGCTACAGCACAATTGTGGGCTATATCTTGTACTCACTAATATGGTTTGACACAGAGTGCCTCTATTTTAAAGATTCTCGTCTACTCTGCAACTGTACCTAATGTTTAAACAGCAAAGCAAAAAATAACAACAACAAAGATAACCCCAGGACACAGTAAGAGAAACTGACCTAATTGCCTTGAGAAAATGTACGTTCGTGCTATTTGACTTAGACATTTCTTTGTCCTGTTTCTCTTGAACACTGGGCACCGGCTAAGTCATTTGCTTTGTCTTACGGTTAGAACTGTTGAAATTATCTAGATCTGGTTAAGTCTGTTATGCTCACATTGAAGATTACAGCTCCAGTGCTTAGTAAGGCCAGCCAGTTTTGCTGTGTCCCAAGGGGAACCAGGACAAGGGAGGCGACATGATTTATGAAAACCCTTCACTAGAACCCTGGAAACAATCAAAGTATATATACTTCAGGGATGAAGGGTGAGCCTTTATTGTATGCATAGCATTTTTAAAAAATACTTTTTAACGTTTATTCATTTTTGAGAGACAGAGTGCAATCAGGGGAGGGGCAGAGAGAGAGGGAGACACAGAATCCGAAGCAGGCTCCAGGCTCCGAGCTGTCAGCACAGAGCCCCACGTGGGGCTTGAACTCAGGAACTGTGAGATCATGACCTGAGCTGAAGTCAGACGCTTACCCGACTGAGTTGTCCAGGTGCTCCATATGCATAGCATTAAAAGTAGAATCCCTGTTTTCAGTAGAAGGTACGCTTTGGTCAGGGGAAATACAGGACGATGTAACCTCACATCTCTTCCAAACTACCTCACCCGCGATGCAAATGGCCAAAGTACATGATAAATCTGAAAACAAGTTTGGGGTCTATTTACTCTGTCTCCTTTTCCTTTGACAGGAAACAGTGTTGATGGGATTTGTTGATTGTTTTTGTTTTTGTTTTTTTCCCCAGTAGCCCAAGGATAAGCCAGTTCTTAAACTGTATTTGTATATATTTTTTTTAAGCTAAGTGATAAGATGTCTATTTCTGGGGCTGGGAGAGTTACCTCAAATAGAATTTGTGTATCTTATGAAAGGAAAAAAACAAGGCAATTTCTACATAGCCGATCACTCGGTCCAGTGTCTCTGGGCTGGCAAATACAGAAGCAATTTTTTATATTTAAAAAAAACCAAGGGATTTGTCTAACACCTTATATTTCAGTAATGTTCATTAATCCCTCCCAGACACCCATTGCTTAGTGCCTTAATACCGCATATGAAGGAGAAGGTCTGTCCCAAACCCTAGTTTACTCATGGAATGATGGGTTCCTCAGTAGCAGAGTCTGTGTCCTGTAAGTGTCGTGATCCTGGCGCCCACAGAGCAGGCTGGCCGCACTTTCTCGAATGCTTGTGGTGCCACCTATGTCACAGGAGCCAGGCTTTGGAGCCAGAAGGGGCTTTGCAGTCTGCGGGTTGTTCCTTCTACAGATGAAGCAGCTGAACCCCAGTGGCTTCATGCGTGTTGGAACCATGTTCGTGTTACTCTTCTCTGGTGGAGCAGGAGGTAGCACTTGTCCGTCATTGTTGATGAATAAACCCGTGCACCCTCTTGTAGAACAGAGGTGTCAAAACATAGAGTTGGGATGAAAAATACTCGTAAAGCAAGGGATTTAGCCACTCCGAAGTGAGCTCTGTCTTATTGGGACCTAGAGCATGTTTCTTTTGTGAGACCGGCACACCGCATTGTTGATTTTTCCCTTTTTGCAAGAGCTATTTTGGTGATGTGCTCTGGGTAACATCCAAGTTTTCAACGACAAGCTGAGCCACAAGAGCCTTCAGTAGTGAGCAGCAGGCTAAGGCAAGGGGCTTTATGCCCAGGATGAGTGACAGACCCCACGAAGGATCCTCTCTCTTGGTCATGTTGTGACCGTTAAGACAGGTCAGAGCAGAAGTGGAAGAGGACTGTGGTCACCTCAGTGACAGCCTCAGAGTCCCAAGCCCGTTCTGGCTGTGGCTTCATCCAGCTGGGTTGTTAGAGCTGCCTTTTTTCTTTCTTTCTTTCTTTCTTTCTTTCTTTCTTTCTTTCTTTCTTTCTTTCTTTCTTCCTTCCTTCCTTCCTTCCTTCCTTCCTTCCTTCCTTCCTTCCTTCCTTCCTTTCTTTCCTTCTGTCTTTTAAGGCTCTTAGATTCTGATTAAGAATTTTCTTAGGCCCTCTTGAGAATAAAGATAAATCTGACCGTCTTGTATCCCCAAGGGCTGTACAATTCTCCCCCTGTCTATTTCCAGACCAACGTGGAGCTTCCTGGTCGGATTCCATCTGTCCAGTCTGGGGAATGGTCACGTGGAAACAACCAGCAAACACAACTGTGCTATTCTTTTTTACCTTCCAGACTTCGATTTCAAATAACCCTTTTGCCTCTGGGTCTCCACTAACTGGCAGGGTGACCTGGGCCCCTTCCTTCCTGTTAGGAGTGAATGATCTCCAAGGCTCCCTCTGGCTCTGTCTCTATGGTGGGTGTCTGCCTGTTCTGTCACGGTAATGACATCTGGTGGGAGGTGCAGACTTATCTGTAGACTTCTTTTTCGTCTGCCATCCTCACTCTGGACATGCAGAGAGTTCAAATGACGGTCTCCTTTCGTAGTATACGTAAAACATAAATTGCTACGGAAGTTTCTCCAGCATCACAGTGACCTTCAGTCATGGTGTTTCCACAAAACAGTTGAATTCTCTAAATAAAAATCGGAGACATTTTTCTAAGAGATTTCCTCCTTTACACACTTGAAAACTGTGACATAACAGTTTATTCCGTGTTAAAATCTTTATAGGAGATGGTGGGCTTTTAGATTTTCTACACCGTACGTGTTTGCTGTGTGCTTTTTAAAAGCTCTTGGTTGATAAAGTTGTGACCAATAAATGTGTTTTATGCCCAAGCTGTAAATGTGTGGGTGTGGTGTTTTATCTGAGTAGAATGGATTCTCTTTCCACGCCTTGCCAACGCTGAATTCACTTGGACTTGAGGACGGATACAGGCAAGGGAAGTGCAGCAGAATCGTGAGCATTGCAGATTCTCATACTGAAGAGCCCGGCCTTTTAGATGCCCTGCCTGAGAGACAAGACAAAACAGAAGGCAGGGGCAGAGCTGAACGAAAAACACAGATGTGCCGGATGAAATAAGAGCGGAGAACAGGAAGAGGAAACAAGACAGGAAGCTGCCGTGGTCAAAATAAGAGTGAAACTTGTTAGTTACAGAAATGTTCAAAAACTCGTAGAAAAATTGATAGATTCCAAATCAAAGGAATCATTGCTATGGGTACGGGGTTTCTTTTTGGGTGATGAAATGTTTTAAAATTCGACTATGGTGATGGCCGCACAACTCTGCAGATACACTAAAAACTCCTACACGCCTCTCTTCAAGTGGGTGGATTTTACGATATGTGAGTTATACCTCAATAAAGCTCTTTTATACACACGAGTAGGTCATCCGCTTGGCAAAATAAGGGAAGAAGCAAAAAACTAAATTCCTTTTTTTGTGTGTGTCAGCAGTAAAATCGCCTCCCTTTGATGTCAGCATTTTGGATGACAGAGTTTTTGCCTTGATTTTTGAGACCTGGTGGTGTGTCTGGTGTTATCAAAACAGGTGTTTTCAATACTCTTAAAATATTTTATCGGATAAAGAACATGCTGGTTTATTATTGTGTAAAAACACTGCTTGGCTTTAACTTTTCCCAGTATTTTATTAATACTGTGGCTAATAATAAATACTGTCTTATAAAATCCATCAACATTTATTGACCACCTACAATGTACCAGATGCAGAGCTAGGAGAGTTTATGTACATTAGGACATTTAACTCTTAAAATAGCCGTGTGAGATCAGTACTATTTTTATCCCATAAAAAAATTGGGGTTAAGAGGGGCTAAGAACTTTCCCTGAGGCAACCCTCATGTTGGGGGTGGAGCTCAGATAGGATGCCGGGTCCTCTGGCCAGAGCCCATGCTTTGGATGTAG